AAAAAAAAAAAAAAAAAAAAAAAAAAAAAAAAAAAAAAAAAAAAAAAAAAAAAAAAAAAAAAAAAAAAAAAAAAAAAAAAAAAAAAAAAAAAAAAAAAAAAAAAAAAAAAAAAAAAAAAAAAAAAAAAAAAAAAAAAAAAAAAAAAAAAAAAAAAAAAAAAAAAAAAAAAAAAAAAAAAAAAAAAAAAAAAAAAAAAAAAAAAAAAAAAAAAAAAAAAAAAAAAAAAAAAAAAAAAAAAAAAAAAAAAAAAAAAAAAAAAAAAAAAAAAAAAAAAAAAAAAAAAAAAAAAAAAAAAAAAAAAAAAAAAAAAAAAAAAAAAAAAAAAAAAAAAAAAAAAAAAAAAAAAAAAAAAAAAAAAAAAAAAAAAAAAAAAAAAAAAAAAAAAAAAAAAAAAAAAAAAAAAAAAAAAAAAAAAAAAAAAAAAAAAAAAAAAAAAAAAAAAAAAAAAAAAAAAAAAAAAAAAAAAAAAAAAAAAAAAAAAAAAAAAAAAAAAAAAAAAAAAAAAAAAAAAAAAAAAAAAAAAAAAAAAACAAAAAAAAAAAAAAAAAAAAAAAAAAAAAAAAAAAAAAAAAAAAAAAAAAAAAAAAACAAAAAAAAAAAAAAAAAAAAAAAAAAAAAAAAAAAAAAAAAAAAAAAAAAAAAAAAAAAAAAAAAAAAAAAAAAAAAAAAAAAAAAAAAAAAAAAAAAAAAAAAAAAAAAAAAAAAAAAAAAAAAAAAAAAAAAAAAAAAAAAAAAAAAAAAAAAAAAAAAAAAAAAAAAAAAAAAAAAAAAAAAAAAAAAAAAAAAAAAAAAAAAAAAAAAAAAAAAAAAAAAAAAAAAAAAAAAAAAAAAAAAAAAAAAAAAAAAAAAAAAAAAAAAAAAAAAAAAAAAAAAAAAAAAAAAAAAAAAAAAAAAAAAAAAAAAAAAAAAAAAAAAAAAAAAAAAAAAAAAAAAAAAAAAAAAAAAAAAAAAAAAAAAAAAAAAAAAAAAAAAAAAAAAAAAAAAAAAAAAAAAAAAAAAAAAAAAAAAAAAAAAAAAAAAAAAAAAAAAAAAAAAAAAAAAAAAAAAAAAAAAAAAAAAAAAAAAAAAAAAAAAAAAAAAAAAAAAAAAAAAAAAAAAAAAAAAAAAAAAAAAAAAAAAAAAAAAAAAAAAAAAAAAAAAAAAAAAAAAAAAAAAAAAAAAAAAAAAAAAAAAAAAAAAAAAAAAAAAAAAAAAAAAAAAAAAAAAAAAAAAAAAAAAAAAAAAAAAAAAAAAAAAAAAAAAAAAAAAAAAAAAAAAAAAAAAAAAAAAAAAAAAAAAAAAAAAAAAAAAAAAAAAAAAAAAAAAAAAAAAAAAAAAAAAAAAAAAAAAAAAAAAAAAAAAAAAAAAAAAAAAAAAAAAAAAAAAAAAAAAAAAAAAAAAAAAAAAAAAAAAAAAAAAAAAAAAAAAAAAAAAAAAAAAAAAAAAAAAAAAAAAAAAAAAAAAAAAAAAAAAAAAAAAAAAAAAAAAAAAAAAAAAAAAAAAAAAAAAAAAAAAAAAAAAAAAAAAAAAAAAAAAAAAAAAAAAAAAAAAAAAAAAAAAAAAAAAAAAAAAAAAAAAAAATACAACCAAAAAAAAAAAAAAAAAAAAAAAAAAAAAAAAAAAAAAAAAAAAAAAAAAAAAAAAAAAAAAAAAAAAAAAAAAAAAAAAAAAAAAAAAAAAAAAAAAAAAAAAAAAAAAAAAAAAAAAAAAAAAAAAAAAAAAAAAAAAAAAAAAAAAAAAAAAAAAAAAAAAAAAAAAAAAAAAAAAAAAAAAAAAAAAAAAAAAAAAAAAAAAAAAAAAAAAAAAAAAAAAAAAAAAAAAAAAAAAAAAAAAAAAAAAAAAAAAAAAAAAAAAAAAAAAAAAAAAAAAAAAAAAAAAAAAAAAAAAAAAAAAAAAAAAAAAAAAAAAAAAAAAAAAAAAAAAAAAAAAAAAAAAAAAAAAAAAAAAAAAAAAAAAAAAAAAAAAAAAAAAAAAAAAAAAAAAAAAAAAAAACCAGCAGCCAGCATCGATAGACTGTCCAGCAGCCACCAGCAATAGTCCTCCCTCCCTCAACAATAGATCCAAACCAGCAAACTACAGACCCCACCAGCAACAATAGATTCCTCAGGCAACAATGGACCCCAGCAACAAAACGCCACAATCCCAACAATAGACCCCCAGCAGCCAGCATCAATAGACTTTCTATCAACCAGCAACAATAAACCTGTCCATCAGATATCTTGCAGCAACAATAGACCCCCACCAGCAACAATAGACCCACCCAAGAACAAATAGAACACCGTGCAAAAATAGATCCCCCAGCAGCCACCTTCCAGCACCCCTTGGAGAGAGAGAGAGAGGGGGGGGGGGAGAGGGGGGGGGGGAGGGGGGGAGGGGAGGAGGGAGGAGAGAGGAGAGGAGAGCGAGGGGGAAAAGGGGGAAGGGAGAGGGGGGGGGGGGAGAGAGGGGGAGAGGGGGAAGAGAGGGGGATAGGGGAGGAGAGAGGGGGGGAGAGGGAGGAGAGAGAGGGGGAGAGGGAGGAGTAGGGGGGAGAGGGGGAGAGAGAGGGAGGGGAGAGGGGGGAGAGAGGAGGTGGGAGAGGGAGGGGAGTGGGGGAGGCGAGGAGAGGAACGAGAGGAGGGAGATAGAGAGGGAGGGGGAGGGGGGGAGGGGAGAGGGGGGGGGAGGGAGGAGAGAGAGAGGGAGGGAGAGAGGGGAGGGAGGGGGGGGAGGGAGGGGGAGGAGGGAAGAGGGGGGGAGGGAGTAGGAGAGAGGAGAGAGGGGGGAGGGAGGGAGGGAGGGGGAGCAGGAGGGAGGAGGAGGGGAGAGAGTTGGAGGGCGAGAGAGAGGAGAGAGAGAGGTTAGGGGATAGGAGAAGGGGAGTTTGCCAGGGAGAGAGAGAGGGATGAGAGAAGGGAGACTAGGGAGGGAGGGAGAGGGAGGAGAGAGGGAGGGAGGGGAGGGACTGAGAGAGGAGAGGGGTCTCGTGCGAGGTGAGGATTTCTAGAGAGGGTAGGGAGGGGGGGAGGAGAGAGAGAGGTGTGTTGTGTTACAATTGATATACACCCATATATTCCCCACCAATTAATCCCTTATGAGTTTACCTACATTTTAACTTTTGCGCAGGTTCAACTTGTCTATATTTGTACTTTATCAACAATGCATACCAGGAGGAGTGGTTAATATTTCCATATATATATATATAATTTTTTTTTATATGTATATTATTTTGTGTTTGTTAGCCCTGAAGAAGGGGAGAGTTCATTCCTCCGAAACGCATTGTCTTTATATACATGATTATACTTTTTAGTAAACATTTTATGAGCCGTATATCAAAGTTGCAGTTTTCCTGGACGCCGGGCGGCTCCTTCTATCCCACCCAACATTTCTGGATGAAACAACCATTGGAAGGGGCTTCTTCCTCTTTGTCCACATGCTCACCCACTCATGACCACAGACTGATCACCTCATCCAGTCAGTACAGCGTGGTCTCCAACACAAACAAGAGATGTAAATAATGGGACTTTTTAGGACCTCTTCAGACGGATACTTTTGCAGTAGTAAGATGTATGACTGCAATACATAAGTCACAGACCAGCCCCCCCTTCATTGTGTGAACGGACGACCCCCCAACTTCAGCCTGCAGTGCACCCCATTTTTCACAGTACAATTTCTCTTTCGCCTTTTCATCTAATGTAGATTTCTATTTGTGTCACTGTTCTTTGGACGCTCCAATATGCAGCACTCACCTGTACACAGGCCAGTCTTCCCACCACGTCCATACTGTGTAAGTGCCATACAACCTCCAACACCGGGGGGCGCTGCCGAGCAAAGAGTAACAACACTGACATTAGAATGGAACGGCTTTAAGATGATGTTCAGCAACATCAGCAACACAACTCACTGGTTGTTCCCAGATCTCCTTCAAGAAAACGGAACGTCTGAAACAATTCTCTGCCATCAGCACTTTCAGCGTCTTCAGGAAAGCCGTCATCCTGTCCTAAAATCATGATAGAAAGAGGGACCGTTAGCCACGTTCAGAACTTGTGTGGGACTACGGTGATCAGCCCTGGAGAAGGTGCCAATCCCCATCATATTGAGGGAGAAATCTGATAATTGCCCCCCCCCCCCCCAATACACCAAATCTTTACACATTGCGACCTACCTCCTGAACAGCACAATATGGGGATTTGCCCTTAAAGGGTAAGTTCACCTTTCACAACATATTCAGGGTGTAAAATGCTATGAAAGCACTGCCCCCACTCCCCGCCGATCCCCCACTTTGACAGCTAGCAGGGGATCCCCCCCCCCCACTAGGTGTCAAATTTTTAAGAAGTGTAGGGCTCCGCCCACCCAGCCGCGTCACTCATTCACAGTATTCTGTGAATGGAAAACTACAAATCCTGAAATCCTTAGTGCCTGTGGGATTGTAGTTCCCAACGAACTGCTACGGCGCTGTAGCAATCCGTGGAAGTTCATTGATTACGTGTTCCTGCATGGCGACCACTTCCTGTTATCTCACATATATATTCGGATTATTAGAGCCAAATTTACCTCCCTGACTCCTCCCACAGTTCTTACACTCCATAGACAGTAATATACCGAAACGTGCGGATTGTTCCCGATTGGTGGGCTATTACTTTGTGGAACGTTTCCCGAATGGTTCACAAAATATCGCCGTTTTTGTGGTGAAATTGGTCCCATAGGAATGAATGGCGGAATGTTCAAATCTAGAGTGGGAGATGAAAAAATCCAAGACATGATTTCTAAACTGCCATCACTCCCTCATTTTCAAGCCACTCCACCAGTTACTCCACCCACTCCACCCAGTAATCCAGACATGATTTCTAAACTGCCATCACATCCCTACATCCCGTTCCAGCCACTCCACCCAGTTACTCCGCCCACATCCAACTAGTTACTCCGCCCACAACCCTTACATCCCTACATTGTAGTACAACTGGTGGAGGCAAGAATCTCGTACATCACTTCACACAATTTCCCCAGAAATTGCAGCTTTTCTACATTCTTCCTGTTGTTATATCCCTACATGCTCGTACATCCGTACATACATCCGTACATCCCCTACATCCCATCCCTACATCTCCGTACATCCCTACATCCCGTACATCCCTACCATCCCTACATCCCTACATCCCGTACATCCCTACATCTCGTACATCTCGTACATCCCATACACATCCCGTACATCTACATCCCTACATCTCGTACATCCCTACATCATCTCGTACATCCCTACATCTCGTACATCCCTACATTCATCCCTACATCTCGTACATCCCCTACATCTCGTACATCCCGTACATCTCGTATCATACATCCCGTACATCTCGTACATCCCTACATCTCGTACATCCCTACATCTCGTACATCCCTACATCCCTACATCCCTACATCCCTACATCCCTACATCCCTACATCTCGTACATCCCTACATCCCGTACATCCCTACATCTCCCTACAATATCTCGTACATCCCTACATCTCGTACACATCCCTACATCTCGTACATCCCTACATCTCGTACATCCCTACATCTCGTACATCCCTACATCTCGTACATCCCTACATCTCGTACATCCCTACACATCTCGTACATCCCTACATCTCGTACATCCCTACATCTCGTACATCCCTACATCTCCATCCCTACATCCCGTACATCCTACATCCCTACATCCCGTACATCCCTACATCTCGTACATCCCTACATCCCGTACATCCCTACATCCCTACGTACATCCCTACATCCCGTACATCTCGTACATCCCTACATCTCGTACATCCCTACATCCCGTACATCCCTCGTACATCCCTACATCTCGTACATCCCTACATCCCGTCGTACATCCCTACATCTCGTACATCCTACATCCTGTACGGCAAGCAGATATACTGACAGGTCTGCAGGAGACCTGCATGGCACCAGCAATCTGCTGATTGCTGGTGCAATGCTTTCCAGGCTCCTGCAGCAAAAAATTATAAATGCATATTTTTTTTCACCTGCAAAAAGATTTGCATTTATTATTGTTTATCAAAAGGTGAACTTATCCTTTAATAATGACACTGTACTACTTGTGGGGGGTGATGAAGATTTTTTTTTCTCTCTTTTCTACACTGATTGCTTTTACACCCATAAAGGCTGTAATATCAATCATTTCTCCTTCTCTCTGGCTGCATTCCTGCAGCCATTGAGAAATACTGTGAGAGCTGTGATTGGTCACAGCTTGTCACGTGGTACAAGGCTGCTGTGAATGGCCCTGTACCATGTGATCTCGGTGATCATTCACAGATTTCAATAGTAGTAAGGAATGATGTCAGGAAGTGACATCTTGTTTACAACTGTTTATGTGATCACCGATTGGCCAAATCAGTGATCACATGGTTGGGAACTCACACAGAGGTCCGGTACAGCGATCTGTGTTCCGCTGTGTCCTCCACCGATCGTGGTGCTGCATGCTCCCAGGGAGCGTACATAGGCAATGGATGCGGAGGGACGTTTAGAAACATCCACCCGCATCGGCAGCGCTCCTGTCCGGCAGTTTATCGACATGGGCCGGATGGGAAGAGGTTAAAAAGCATATGCAGACATACAAATATAGAATGAAATCCCCAGATTTTTTTTACTAATATGGTTAATCAGAAATGGATCCTAAGCGTATAGGATCGACGCGTTTCGCATGAATTGTGAAACGCGTTGATCCTGTAGTTTAAGATTGTAATAATCCTGTAGCATAATTGTAACAATATGTCCAGTTGTGACATACATTGTTATTGGATTTAGATTTGATTTTAAACATATGTTAATTAAATTTCTTGTAATAAAAAAAAGTTTGTATTTTATTATATGTTTGTATGTCCGCATCTCCTAGTCAGCCACATTTTAAAGCTCCTCAGTTTCTTTCTTTGAGGATTTGCCCCGAATAAAGTGGTGAAAAACCATGAAAATTTGTAAATTTCATACTGAAATATTAAAAGAGAATTTAAAGTCTTTTCGATTATTTTTGGACACTTGTGTCAGGGACCAGCTTGATATAAATAACGCATTGAGCTTTCTGCTGCAAAGATATGTAAATGACAGCGAATTCACAGATTTCTCACAGCTATTTACCCGCGGGAACCTGAATATAGAAATCAGGAGTTCTGTGAAACATGCGACTCGGATCAACATATGGCTTCATATGTAACAGGTTAGCAATGAAAATGTATTTAGTTAAAACCGTTTTCAGTTTCGGATGTAGTGGGGAAAGACAGTCCCTTTGCACCCGGCCGCACATAGAGCTGACATGGGGCTGCCAGTCATAAACTGAACAGGGATGTTCGATTCGTATCGCATGATGCGGGACATGTAGTTCCGGCCCCGGACAGGTAGTTGTTTTTTACCTTTAGCCCGGCTCACCTGTCAGGTGGAAGCATTCGACGGAAGCGCTGCCGCTGATTGCTTCCACACAGAGCCAGCCTCTTCGCACCCCCCCCCCCCCCCCCCATGAGGCTTCCCGGGCTCAGCTTGTGCCATCGGCTAGAGGGGAGGGAGAAGAGCGGACACGTCTGCTCGCCTCCCCTTCTTGTCCTGACCCGGAAGTGACACTACGATGTCACTTCCGGGTCCCCAATGAGAGATTGTAATGCAATCCCTGGGAAGGAATGTGTCAGGGACCCCAGGTTTTAACCGCGGAGCGCGGGTCTGCGCATGCATGGTATGCCAGGGCGCACTAGCATGCGGGCACTAGGACCTGGGCACCCGCGACGGCAACGTCGGACGTGCGCCTGGCACCAATGAGAGTGCAGGGCGCCCTATTTAAACAGGCTCTGACTGTGCTCAAATTGCCGTATGGGCTTTTCCTGTATCCTGTGTTCCTGAAAGATCGCCTTGTTGCTGACCCTGATTCGCTGTCCATCACCTGCTCTGATCCCTGGCTTGTCTGACCATTCTCCTGCCTAATCCTGCACGTTTGATCTCGTTACCGAACCCGGCCTGTTTATCCCTCTGCCTGCGGCTTGTACCGTCCTGCCTCCACCGTTACCGACCCGGCCTGTCTGACTTCGCTCACTCCGCCTCCTCACATCAGGCTCTCACCTGCCAAGTACCACCGGCAAGTGCCTCTACCACAGCTGGTTGCACCCAGGGGCCGCGACCTGGTTTCGGCCTGCTCCAAGTCCATCCCCACCATCAGGGGCTCTGGTGAACAAGCAGGTCGGGGCTTAATCCCGGTCTGTGGAGCGCTAGAGGCTACCCTGGTCGGTCCTTAATAGAATGTAATACAGTGCGATGTGCAGTGCATTACATTCAGTGGAGCAGAGGGGAGACACGCGGGGTCTTTTTACATGTATGCAAGGTAACCAAAAATCCTCACATAGGGGACTTTGTCCCCTATGTGATGAAAAGAAAAAAAAAGTAAAAAAAAAAAAGTTTTTTTTTTTTTTAATTGTAAAAAATGAAAGTTGCACCCAAGCACATACCACCCCCCAAAAAAAAAAAAAAATATTGAGGCCCCCACATATACGCACGTACAAATGTAAAAGAACACGCTGGGGCGCCTATACATGAAACCGTCGATTGCGATACACGTCACATATCGCCGCGCACGCCAGAATGAGAGCGATAATTCCAGCAGCAGACCTCCTCAGTACACTACAGTATACGGATTACCTAGAAGGGGCTTTAAACGTGTCACCTACAGAAAATATAGAGGACTGAAGTCGCCATTTCACGAGTGCACAAACTTAAGGTTTGACAAGTTGGATATCTATTTACGCTGCAACCGAATCTTCTGTATTTTACAAAAAAAAAAGGGGGTAATTTATTGGTTTTTGTGCCCTAAAATTAACTTGTATGTACTAAAATTTTGCGGTAAAATCCTGCGACATGAAAAATTGGAATTACCGCTATTTTATTCTCCAGGGTCTATGATTTCAGAAAATATCTCATGTTTGGGGGTTTTTATGTCATCTTCAGGCCTAAAATGATTTTTTTTTAAATGTGTGCAAACAGCTCTGGCAGCGAAATGGATAAAGGACACGCCCTGACCTCCCTCTTTCCTGAGGTGCAGCCAATCGGTGCTCATTACACTGCGAGGACTCTCCCCTCCCTGCTGGTCCTCAGGGGCGGGACTGGAGACAGGCAGGGAGGAGAGGAGGAGATAAAAGGTGCAATGTTAAAAATATTACACGTTTAAGTTGCCATAAAGCCGCTTTTGTTTTTAACAGCCCCGACATTCCTAATACCACCTCCCATCCGGACAAGTAGATTGGGGCCCCGATTTAGTCCCTGGACAAGTAGATTGGGGTAGATTGGGGCCCCGATTTAGTCCCTGGACAAGTAGATTGTCATGACGGACAAGTAGATTGGGGCCCCGATTTAGTCCCTGGACAAGTAGATTGTCATGACGGACAAGTAGATTGGGGCCCCGATTCAGTCCCTGGACAAGTAGATTGTCATGACGGACAAGTAGATTGGGGCCCTGATTTAGTCCCTGGACAAGTAGATTGGGGCCCCGATTTAGTCCTGGACAAGTAGATTGGGGCCCCGATTTAGTCCGATTTAGTCCCTGGACAAGTAGATTGGGGCCCCGATTTAGTCTCTGGACAAGTAGATTGGGGCCCCGATTTAGTCCCTGGACAAGTAGATTGGGGCCCCGATTTAGTCTCTGGACAAGTAGATTGGGGCCCCGATTTAGTCCTGGGACAAGTAGATTGGGGCCCCGATTTTTAGTCCCGGGGACAAGTTGTTTTTTTCAAAAAATTTCCACCGCCCTGAACAAGCATGGATGCTAACACACTCACATCCGTCCCATTTGCAGATCTGCCCACAGATCCCCTGCTGATTGTGGTGGCCTTTGCTCCGTGTGAAAGGGGTCTTAGGGATTCTCACCTGTGGCCCCTGACATCCCCAAACAGCTGCACATAATGCTCAGTATATGTGATGCTACAGAAGATTGCCAAAGACAGCAGAATTACTAAAGAGAACAGTCATAAACTACAGACGTCACCAATGTACATGACTGCTGGGGTCCAAGGGCCGCACACAGGGCCGTGGATAAGGGGGTACCACCTGTCCTCCTGTATGGGGCCCAGGTCAGCAGGGGGGCCCAGGCAGCTGGATGAATGGGATGTGGGCAGGGAGGGTGATCGGCACAGTGGGGAGGGGGGGGATGTAAATGTTTCCATTGATATCACAACGTATTAGTAATGGGAAATGCCAGGATGGATCGTCCGCTGTGCTCACTCGCTGGTCTTGGCTGAGCAATACGTCCGCCATGTTGTTTGCAGGGTTATGGCAGATCTGTTGGATATTGGAGAGCGCGGCTCTTGCACCGAGAACATCGGCCGACACGCCCAGATGGGAAGCCTGATCTCTGAAGGTGGAACCTGACAACGAAAACAACACGGCGTGTCATCCGGTTCTGTTGTCTGTATGAAGCCCAACTCTGCGCACAAAAATCCTGACCAAAGTTACAGAAGTTATACATTCAACCCCCCCCGCCCCCCCCCCCCACATCATGCGGGTTTATTCTACATCTGGCAAATCATGCATTCTGGGATTAGTACATCTCCCGGTACTTTAATTCCAGACCAGTCTGGTGTAAACGCTGCAGGTCCCAAACCTCCAGCACAGCCGTCGTGTCTCCCCTCAGCCATTCACAAAACTGGTGTCTGCACCTCCCCGCTCCCTCAGCCATTCACAAAACTGGTGTCTGCACCTCCCCCGCTCCCCCAGCCATTCACAAAACTGGTGTCTGCACCTCCCCGCTCCCTCAGCCATTCACAAAACTGGTGTCTGCACCTCCCCGCCTCCCTCAGCCATTCACAAAACTGGTGTCTGCACCTCCCCGCTCCCTCAGCCATTCACAAAACTGGTGTCTGCACCTCCCCGCTCCCCCAGCCATTCACAAAACGCATGTCTCCCCTTCCCCTGCTCCCCCAGCCATTAACAAAACTGCATGTCTCCCCTTCCCTGCTCCCCCAGCCATTCACAAAACGCATGTCTCCCCTTTCCCGCTCCCCCAGCTATTCACAAAACTTGTGTACCCTGCCTCCCTCCTCCCCCAGCCATTCACATAACTCGTGTCTCCGCCTCCCTCCTCCCCCAGCCATTCACATAAACTCGTGTCTCCGCCTCCCTCCTCCCCCAGCCATTCACATAACTCGTGTCTCCCGCCTCCCTCCTCCCCCAGCCATTCACATAACTCGTGTCTCCGCCTCCCTCCTCCCCCAGCCATTCACATAAACTCGTGTCTCCGCCTCCCTCCTCCCCCAGCCATTCACAAAACTTGGATGCACTTTCCTCACCCTGTCACAGCATGAGGAAAGTACTGCCGATAACCGGCAATTGTCAGAGGACCGAGCGGGCACTGATGATCAGTGCCCAGCAGTGCCCATCAGTGCCACCCATCAGTGCCCATCAGTGCGAGCCTCATCAATGCACATCAGTGAAAGAGAAAAAAATTACCTGTTTGCAAAATTTTATAATAGAAACAAAGAAAAAAATTTTTTTTTTCTTTATAGAGCAAAAAATAAAACACTCAGTGGCGAGTACATACCACCAAAAGAAGCTCTATTTGTGTGAAAAAAAATGATAAAAATGTCATATGGTATGGGTGCAGTGTTGCATGACCGTGCAATTGTCACTCAAAGTGCGACAGTGCTGAAAGCTGAGAATTGGCCTGGACAGGGAGGGGGTAAAAAGTGCCCGCTAGGCGAGTGGTAAAAGGAGACGTTCACTTTTTGGGAACATGATACATGTTTCACCCCGTTTTTAGGATGCCACGTGTAACATGTTCCAAATGCTGCACCCACCACCTCCTGCCCCTCCCCCCCAATCTGACAGAAGTATGGGGAGAAGCTGTCAGATTAGAAAACAGCGCAGCCATGCAGGGGCTCCGCCCACAAGTGAATGAACTGCAAGTTGCGGCTGTGGGCTTGTACTCTTCTATGAACTACTACAACGTTGTGGTAGTTCACTGAATTTTCTGACAGTGTATCTGCTTGCCCATACACCCTGTACAACGCGTACACCTTGTATACCCCATACACCCCATACACTGCGCACATCCCGCGCACCCATAAACCGTGTACACCCCATACACCCCGTACACTGCGCATCATCGCCCGCGCACCGCATACACACCCGTACACCGCATAAACCGTGTACACCCCATACAACGCGCACATCCCGCGCACCCCATACACCCCATAATAAACAATACACACTGCGCACATCCCGCGCACCCCATAAACCGTGTTACACCCCATACACCCCGCACACCCCATACACTGCGCACATCCCGCGCACCCCATACACAGCGCACATCCCGCGCACCGCATACACCCCCCCGTACACCGCAATAAACCGTTGTACACCCCATACACTGCGCACATCCCGCGCACCCCATACACTGCGCACATCCCGCGCACCCCCATACACCCCGCGCACCCCATACACCCCACACGGACAAGCGGATATTTACTGACAGATCTGCAGGAGGCTTGCAATGGCGTCAGAAATCTGCGGATTGTGGGT